TCCCCTCCCCCCCCCCCCCACCTCTGCTGTGCTGTGCTTTGTTTCTCACCACTCGTTTGAAGTTCTCGGGCATATTGTCCATGTGTGTGGAGCCCCTCCCCTCCAAGTCCTCCTGTGAATGGATGGACACACACACACAGACCCATAGCGCACGCCTTTGTCCGTTGTCCTCCTGTGGCTGTTGGCTTGTTTTCTCACCTCGTGTGCGTCGAGCCCCGAGCCGCTTCGCATGGGGTTGAGTTGTGCAACGCCTGTGTTTGCACGCACCGGCACACAGCAGCACGTGAAGAGCCAAGACATCGAAAACCCGATCCCACTCAGGCCTCCGTCTGGAGCGACACTTTCCAATCCACAAGCACTGTCGGGCCTCCGCTCCAGCTTCTCTTTCCTCACCTGCGAGCTAAGCCGAGAGGCGAGGCGAGCTTTTATCGGGGCCGAGGTGCATTTCTCCCCTTTTCCGCGGCGATGTCGAAGGGCACGAGTTGTGCGAAGGCGATTCAGTTGTGGGAGGAGAAGAATGAGGGAAAGACGGCCGCAGAGGCGGAGGCCGTGAAGCTCACGTGCATGATCCCTCCCGTCGACAAGATGGACAACGCACTCAACAGCCTGGCGGTCTGCAAGCATCTCAGCCTATCCACTAATGCCATCGACAGGATGATCAACCTGCCCGGACTAAGTGAGCGCATAAGAACGAAAAGAAGAACGGGGCAGAAGATGGGCAGAGGAGGCGCATGGACGGCGGGAGCCCCTGGTGTTTCTGCCTGTGTAATTGTGCCGTTGTGTGTTGTTGTTTGTGTCATGTGCAGAGAGCCTGGAGATACTGTCTTTGGGACGGAATATGATCAAGAAGATCCAGGGGCTTGAGGAGGTGGGGCAGACGCTGAGGGAGCTGTGGATATCCTACAACCAGATTGAGAAGCTCGACGGGCTGCAGCCTTGCGTCAAGCTGCAGGTCCTCTTTATGAGCAACAACAAAATCAAGAGCTTCGAGGAACTCGAAAAACTGGTCAGCCCAGCGGCCACGTAACAGAAAGAGACGGCGTCTCCCTCCCTTGTCGGTGGCCGATGGTGCATTCTCTCTGGGTGGTTTGGTGTGCGATGCGTGCAGGCGTCTCTTCCCGAGATCACCAATGTCCTTTTTGTCGGCAACCCCATCTATGACGGACTCACAAGGGTGAGAGAGAGACATGAGGGGGAGAGAGAGAGAGAGAGAGAGACGCCAATCGACTGGACCAAAGATGTGTGTCTGTCTATCTCCGTGTGTGGCAGGATGAGGCCAAACCACTGGTGTTGAAGAGGGTGCCAAATGTCAAGACGATTGATGGAGAAATGGTCAGAGAACCACCACACACGAATGGAAAAGCGCCGCAGAAAGTTTAACCGGCAGTCCAGATGTGTCTGTGTCCGCTGTGCGCATTTGTGCGTGTCAGGTCACGGAGGAGATCAGGCAGAAGGCCCTCGAGGACTGATCATGGCCTGATCTGTTACGTGTCATCCGTTGTGTCCGCGTGTTCCTATGTCCGTGTTGCTTCCATGTATTGACCGATGCGTCTCCCTGCGTCATGACGGTCAGCTGGCACTTGACGGTACGTATGTTGCGTGGACCCCTGTCTTCTACATGTGCCTTTTTTCATCGCGCTTCTTAATTCCATGTCCTGCTCCAGTGTTGATACATATATCCATCCATCCATCAGTCCCGATGGGCCCGTGCCATAAGCACCGCCTTCGCAGACACAAGTGGCTGGCCATCTCCTACACACACACACACACGTGAAAGCGATGAGAACATGACAAGAGATGAGAGATGACCTCCGCCGTGTGTATGTGTCTGTGTGTAGGTCTCATACCTTCCTGCTGCCACACGAGTTTTGCGCCGTTGCCCTGGTCGCCCTGCTCCGCCTCCATGGACACCACCACTGAGCCGAGTGACCGGCCGGCGCGCCGCAAACGAGGCTGGAGGCCAAGATAGGGCACCAGCCGTCTTGCCCTGGCAATCAAGCAGCTGGGCAAAGGAAGAACATTTCTCCACGATATAAAGTGTAGGCAACGATGGGCAGACCTGATAAAAGGCCAGACAGACACGTCAGAATTGAATCGCCCATCATGAGACACGACAAGACTCACCATGTCCCCCCCACCCATCTACAGAGTGACATGGTTGCCGTATTCTGTAGATGGTGGGCGACGTGTCTGTCTGCGACTGATGAGGGGGGCTGTTGCTCTGGGGAGGGAGCACTACGCACTTGGTGGTCTCAGTGTCGTGTGCGGCGGTCCCTGTGGACAAGTAGGTGACACACGAAGATAGAGAGGAAGCGATTGACGTGTGATAAGCCGTGTATGTGTCGGCTTACGGTTTGTGGCCGAGGTGCTGTTTGATGAACCTTTCTGCCACGGCGGTCGTGGTGGGGGGGCGGCTCTCATCAGTGGGGGCCAAACCTAGCTCTTTCTTGCGCTGCTCGTACTTCTCCAGTCGCTCCTCATACGGCAGCTCCGGGCCACTCCTTTGGGGGCCTCTTGAGGAGGGTGACGGCGCCGTTCACGAGCCTTGCACCACTGCCGCTGCTGCCCGCCGCGGCTGGTCCGACAGGTGGACCCGCCGGCACGCTGCCTTTTGCCACCCACAGCTGCCGCGTCTTCGCCCCAGCGTGATTGCCCGAGCCTGCCTGCCCGATGTGGCTCTGCAGCTGCGACTGGGGGGTCGGGGGTGGCGATGGACTTGTGGGGGTCTCATAGGCGGCGGGGGCTGCGACGGAGGAAGAGGGGGGCGGGTGGCGCTGGCGCTGCTGCTGCTGCTGGTGCTCGAGGATGTATCGAGCTTCTTGGGCACCTCCAGCCGGAGGGAATAGCCTGACAGACAAAGCACGACCACACCGAGTGCTTCTCGAGGGGTCGAGATTGTGTGTGGTGTGGTTGTGCGAACCGAGTAGGATGAGCCACAGACGACCTTGACGGACAGGGGGTGTGTGTGGTGTGTGTGGGAGGGGGCGGCACCGCGGGAAACCAGCTGGGCGGCGGGGGGGGTGGTGGCTTGGGAAGAAACCGCTTCAACTGGGGAAACGCCTGACGGTGCACCAGAAAGAAAGAGGGAGCAAGTCATTCGGCTCTACATTTCTCCTCTGACTGACTGCCCTGTGTGCCTCTCTGTGCTTCCTTCCTGCCCTCCCCCTTTGCGCTGCGGTGCGTGCGTCCCTTCACACATACGTACCGCCACTGCAGCTGTGATAAACTCCTTGTAGGTCCAGTTGTTGCGCGGCACCTGTATGCCGCTGCAGGTGAGATCGGCGTGGGTGCGCAGCAGGTGCTCAACGACACGCCCCTCGTCTCGCTTCCAGATGGTGTAGGTGATGCGATGGAACTGCGTCGCGGGAGAGCCAGATGGGTACCACTCGCCCGGCAGTACGAAGCAGCTCGCGATTGCCGCGATGGCGTGGCGGAGGAAGTCGACCTGTGTGATCCGGCCGTCGTAGCCGAATCGGTCGTAGCTGCGCATCAAACCCACGATGGCTATGGCAATGGGGGAGGTGGGAGGGGAGGGCTTGGGTGAGGGGGGAGGGAGGCGTGGCCTGTTGCTACAGTAACCGGTGGAGCTGAAGTCGAAAAACAGCCGCTCGATACGCGGCGTGGAGGGCGCCCCTGGCAAATCCGACTCCTGATTGAGTCAACCGACCACAAACACAAGACACAGTAGGTGGTGCACAGGTGTCTTGTGTCATCCATCCGTGTGTGAGTGCGCTCGCCTACGTCAAGTGCTTGCTGTTCTTGCACTGTGGTCGTATCCATCACTGCTACTGCACCACCCAGGCCGCCCTGCCCTCCTTGACTGCCGCCCGCCACGGCCAGCGCCCCCCCGCCATCTCACTGCCGCTCTCGGCCATTTCAGGGGCGCCGTCCTCGTGTAAGGACGGTAGAGCAGCGATCCCTCGAGTGTCCGCCTGGCCACGAGCCATGGCGGCCGCTGCTGGGGTGGTTGGATTGCTGGGGTCGGAGCTTAGCGTCGCTGACCACGAGGCCGAGGTGCACGAGTACAGGAGGGACCCTTCGCTGTCACGATCACCTGCTATCGCCCCCGCGTCACGCTTCTGGGGGTTTTGAGCTGAGGTGAAGGGCTCGACATCAGCATTGCACGCGAATCAAAGGGTGGTGGTGGGGCAGCGGAGGGCTCCTCATCGCCTGTCGGTAGTTAGTCATGCTGGCTGGGCTCATCAGCCCCTCCGGGCGACAACACGCCAGCAGCCAGAAGAACATACACAGCGGAAGGCAGAGCAATCACGTTGGTTTTTTTTTATTACGTCTCGCGAGCTTTTTCTCGACGAGCTTTTTCTCGCCCTGCTATCCCCCATTGCATTTTCAGAGGGGAGCAGCAGGGCCGGCGGATCCGCATGCGACCTGAGGACACGAGTGGCAACTGCCAGATGTTCTCTCCGACAGCAGTGCATCTTCCCCTGTGCGCAGGTCTGACGCGCCCTGGAAATCGTCTCTCAGGGTGATCTGGAAAGCCACAACATCCACCAAACACTATGTCACCGAAGCCGAAGACAACGGATGCAGTCATTGCAGCGGCGAGGATTCCTGGCCGCATGTGGCGTTGGCCGGCCAGCTGTCGGTTGCATGCATAGTGTACGCGGTCCGAACCGAAGGAGGCGGCCGTACGACCTTCTGCTTTGGCTTATCAGGAATCTCTTGACTCTCTCTCCTTCCTTTTCTTACACGCGCACTCACCCTCTCTTCGCCTCAGTGCCACTTCCGCCATGCTGTCGCTCACTGCTCTCGTGTTGCTAGGACTGGTTGGCTCTGCCGTGTGTGAGGATGAGTGGGCGGAGATGGACCCGACACCGCCCGGTGATGGGAGCGCGCCGATAGTGGGCGTCAACATCAGCGACACGGGCGGTGGCGGCAATCTGAATATCACAATCAACTTCAGAGGTGCGGGGCAGGGACGAGAGGAGGGGAGGGAGGTGTGAATGCTCGTGTCGTGGATGTGTCTTGCTGTGTGTCAGACGATGTGCCGCCCGAAATCGACACGGTAGTGTCGGCGAATGGCGTGTCACTGATCCCAGGTACGCTTGGTCACGGGGATTGTGTTGTGTGCATGCGCACTGGTCTGGGTTGTGTGTGTTGTGTCAGATGACTTGGTGTCCGATGAGCTTTTGGAGGACGCCATCTTGACGCTCAACGGCGAAGGCGTACCAGCCAAGCAAGGTACGCAACAGACCGGCAGACAGTCAGGCTCATGGCTGCCATGCTGCTGTGCTGTGGTGCCCGTGCATGTCTTTCCCTCCTTCCTCCCTCACCAACAGAATGCAAAGGTCTGTACAGCACGTAGGAGTTCGCCCACCGTCAGCTTGGTTGGTCTTCATTGCTTGTGTCTGGTGCGTGTCTTTGCAGAGGCCACCCCAGCTCTCGCCGGCTTCCGTCTTGTCAACACGAAGGACCCCTCCCAGCCTGAAGGCCAGGGGGAGCTCATCAAGGACAGCACGACTGGCTTTGTTGTCCCTGCTGAGATGGGCCTGGACTTCACCTTCACGGCCGTCCCTGAGTCGCCGTGCGTCACGGCCGTCCAGTTCCTCCTGTTCGACAAGGGCACCTTCATTGACTGGGACACTTTCAGGTCCGCCCAGCCATGTGCTGTTTGTATCTGGCCTACCTTTGCTTGTTGCTTGCTCGTGTGTGTGTGTGTGTGTGCAGAGATCCTCCCTACCTCGAGAAGGCCGTCAAGGGCAGCAACGCCTTCAAGGCCTTCGGCGCGGCCGGCGGCAACGGTGGGAAGCCAGCTGCCTTCGCCAGGGGCGCCCATGAGGCCATCGCCGGGCCAGGCGTCTTCACTCTGGCGGCCATCCCCTTCAACGACGAGACAGAGGGCAAGGACATCGAAGTCACATGTAAGCAAAACGAGGGGGCTGACTGGGTGGGGGAGAAATGAGTTTGTGTGTGTGTGGTTGTCTGTGTGGTGCAGTCGAGGTGTCTGCCGGGCAGCAGAGCGAGGAGTTCCTCGAGGGCCCGAAGTGACGAGCTGATTGACCGCCCTCTGTGTCTTGTCTTTCTTTCTGTATGTCTACCTCACCCCAGTCGCTACTTTTTTGCAGCTCAAGTCAGATCCACTCAGTAGGTTTGGAAGCCTTAATCTGATCCTGCTTATATATCTGCGCTTGTAGAGCCTTCATGCTGCGCGTGTGTACGTATGTAGTCTGCGTATACATTCCTCTCTGCATGTTGCACACAGCCTCGTATATATGTCTCTGTAGCTGTCCGGTCTCTGTATGTATGCGTAGCAGCCGCTGAGTTGCATACACATGACGTGATTCACACGTGCGTGTTGTTTTTGAGTCGTCCCTCCGGATGCTGTTTGGCCCTTTGCCCGCTTTATCTGTTCGGCGGGACTCGACGGAAGGAGAGATAGAGACAGACGATAGGACTATCCTGCCTGCGTGGCTGCTGAGTTCCCTAGTGTCTCCCGCCCCTGAGTGCCATTCCCTTTGTGTGGCTGAAAGAGGCGAGCAGAGATGTGAGCACCAGCAGGGGCATGTATGAGACCTGCTTTGCCTCGCGAGTGTGTGTCTTGTTGACTGGGTGGAGGTGTGTGTGACGAGGTCTGACTAACAAGGACTGCATGTTGATATCACTGATGAATTGATATTACTGATGAATTATTGTGTCGTTGACTCTGCGTGCTATCTACCATACGTCTGGTGAACTGCGTCACTCACATCCGCAATGCGGTTGAGCGTGGACTACACCCGGTGACACCATACTACCCGGGGTGTAGTATATGCTGGACCGCAAGGCAGATGTGCGTGTTGATATCACTGATGAATTGATATTACTGATGAGTTGATGTAATTGATGATCAAGCACTGCACATTGAAGTGGCGAAAATCTTAGGTTGCGCAGCAGTCAAATCTTTGACTACCGATCCCGCTTGGTTGACTTTCGTTGCAACAAATGGCTCCCTTGCTGATGAATGATTCGGGTCATGCGGTGACTCGCGTCATGCCGTCATCAAACTTGAAGGAAGTGTGAACTGACCTGTCCATCACACCACGCAATCAACCCAGCCACACACCTGTACACGCAGGTCAACACAGCTGAACAGCCAGAGTCACTCTGGTGCTGCATGGTGTCCTGACTTTGACAGCATCGCAGTCTGCTCAAGTAAGAGCATTCATCTGCACAGACACAGGGTGTCTGCTCTTACTTCGACACAGCCACGCAGCGCTGCAACAGTCAGAACGAGACAGCAGAGGCGGCATCCATCCATCCATCCACCCGTCCAGAGAGGCACACAGGCACGGAGACAGACAGCCAGACAGGCGTCAATTGTCCAGGCGGTGATAAAAGAAAAGCCTAGACCATTCATCCAATCGAGGTGGGCAGACACGGACGGATCATGTGTACGACGTATATGTGGGGCAGATAAAGGAGAGGGCGGCCAATCGATGGGAAGGAATAAGTACATGTGTGTGGGTGTGCATGTCGATGTGCCTGGCTCCCAGGCGCTATCGCTACGCACTCGCCTCCTTGCCTCAGGCCCTCAGCCACAGAAACCCACACCACCTTCGATGCATGCATCCGTGAGGTAGGCAGGCGGGAGGGCACGCGGGCAGCCCGGCTACTTTACAAAGGCACATCCGTCCATCCACGTGTGTATGTATGTTTATGTACGCCTCTCTCCCCTCCCTCCGTCAGAAAAGGGGCAGCTGTCTTTGCTCCTTCTGCTGCAGCCCTCTTGATCTTTGCAAATGCGACAACAAGCGACAGAAAAACACCGCACAGACAGACAGCCAGGCAGGCAGCCGTCAGCGATCCACGCATCTATGTACACAGAGGAGACAATACAGGCCGGCCCTCAACCACCCACCACTCGTCCGTCCACCTCAGCTGCAATATCGACCGGAAAAAACACTCTCACACACAGGTGAGGCAGGGAGGTATGCATACACTGGCCGGCTATGCACTTTCTGCTCCCCCCTCCTGGCCCTCCCCGACCCCCTCGCCGTTGCCATTGCCACTGCCATTGGTGTTGGGGTTGTTGGCCGCCGCCGCCGCATTGCCGTCGCCTTGGGCGTGGTTGCCGTGCTGGTGGTCGTGCAGTTCGGCCATGATCATGGCCTGGACAATGGGGCCCATCAGGCTACACAATACGCAATACACAGAGGGGACAAAACAAGCTGATGTGGTGTGTGCTGAGGTGAGGGCTGCTGTATGTGGAAAGTCAGACTTACGCAGGCAATCCGATGGCGCCGCCGCCAAAGGCGAACAGCATACCTGCACCAGAACGGCAAGACACCATACCACAGCACACCACACCACAACTCCGTGATCGCACCACAGTGCCTCCTGCGTGTGTATGTTATGTGAGCGTACCTAGCGGCAACCCTTCGATGACTACCGACTGCACCATCCCGCCCATCGCGGCGCCGTGTGGCGGCCCCTGGCGGGGCGGCTGCACCGTCACCACCTGCTCGTACCACTCTGACGCACCACCCGACGACGAATCGCCCCCGCCAGCACCCCCCGCAGCAGCAGCAGCGCTCGAGGAGCTGGCAGACGAAGACCTGATCACAGATGGATGGGGAGGGGACACACGTGGCGTTGCGTGGCGTGGTGCGGCGCGTGGTGCGGTGTGTTTGTGTTTGCGCACTTGTTGGTTCGCGATCGGAGAGTCATGGTGTGCTGGCTCTTGCAGCGGCGGGTGATCTTGAGGAACACCTCGCGGCACACGGGACACTCGTTGCGCTGCTTGGCCCACTGCACGACACACGCATAAGCTCGTCTAGTGTAGCGCGGTGCGGCGTCCGTATGATCTCGGCGCTCTCGGTGGCTATACCTACCTTGCTGATGCACGGGAAACAAAAGGAATGTCCACAGCCCAAGCGACCCTGTGGAATACAGAGAACACAGAAGACACACAACAGTGACGCTGCTTCTCCCGCCCTTCCCCAGGCTCTCTCCATGTGACTCACCACATCGGCCGGGCTGCGGCAGCACTGACACACGGAGCAGATATCCTCCTCGCTACCTTCGTCCTTCTTGGGCGGCCCCTCATCACCAGCCTTCTTGTCGGCGATGGCGGCCTCCTCCCCATCTTCCTTGTCCACACCCTTAGCCGACTCGCTGCCCTTACGGCGACCCGCACCTCGACCGCGGACACCCACACGGGCCTCCTGCAACACACACACACACACACACACACACACACAAGACACACAGAAAAAGCACAACCAAATTCCTGTCAACCGTGTCCTGACTGCTGGTTGCTCTGCGCTGACCTCAGCCTTGTCCACGCGGCCGGAGCTGTCACGAGAGCCGTCTCTGCGCCGCCCGCGCCCTCCACCGTCCCTCCCGTCACCCACAACAGCAGCCGCAGCAGCCAGGGGAGCGTCGCGCTCAGGTGTGCGGGACCGGCCATTGCGGCCGCGACGACCTTCACGCGCCGCTGGAAGGGAGCTCATGACGGACGCACAGGCAGTGACGGCTCAGATAGCTCAGGGGCTTGCTCCTCCAGGGGAGTTGAAGAGGCCTTGTTTTGCTGGTGCAGCTGGTAGTGCTATGGCTATCGTCACTGAAGCTCCAAAGGTTGATTTGACGCCTCTTTCGTCTTTTTCCCCCTGTGTTTTCCTTGCGAGCTTGAAGGACAAAAGCTCGCTTTTTCGGGAGCTTTGAAGGGAAAGTGATTCAATCAACAGGATGGATGGGAATGCGGCTGATCGTGCAGTAGCTCAGAAACGCGAAGACGTCGTGATGGAGAATGCAGACATTGGCGTTGCGAGGCCGCCTCGCGAGGACGGAGGCGCAGCCGACGCTGGCGCGGCCCATCGGCAGCCTCGGCGGCCCTTCGACGTGTCGCGGACCGTCAAGCGTGCTCTCGAGGAGAGCGAGTTTCTCATCATTCTCGGCATCAACCTCGACATGTGAGAAGAGAATATCGGGAGGCCTGCCAGCGTCCCATTCTGATGTACGTCTGCATCTCTGTGTGTGTTTGTTGTGTGCTGTGTTCAGGAGCACCGAGGTGATAACGAATGCGCAATGTCTGTACCACCGCGTCAACCAGGACCGCGAGAGCCAGTCGTCGCAGGCCTACAGATTCGACGACAAAAAGGTAAGGTGCCCCATACTGGCACACAGCACAGGGATACAATCGCCCCATCCCGTTGACATGACATGCATATGTCTGTGTGTGCAGAGCCTGATGGGTGCGTGTCTGCTGGCGTCATACAAGGCGGTGGTGGAGCCTGACCCCGACCAGGTGCGGCGCAAGATCAAGGAGGAGATCCTCACTCTCAAACGGGTCGACAACGCCGGACCCGCCAACTACGCCGTCGACTTGAGATGCCAACAAGACCGGCAAGACGACACGGCCATGGATAAGGGATCGGCTCCGGCTGCCGCCGATGGTGGTGGTTGTCTCGTCAACGGCGAAGAGGATCCAGTGATGGAGGATGCCACACCGGCTGCCGTGGGTGAGGGAGAGGGGGACGCTGCGCACGGGGGCGAGGGTGAGAGTGACGGTGGGGTGGTGAATCGGCGCTTCGTGATGAGTGTGCGGGGCGTCATGGGACCGAGCATGCATAAGTGGAAGCATGAGACGAAGAACCAGGTTGGTGGGTGGGTGGGTGCAGTGCATGGCAGTGGGTGCATTGGGGGTCCACATACGTGTGTGTAAGGCCTCCCTGTGTGCGTGTGCGTGTGGGTGTGCGTGTCTGTGTGTGTGTGGGTGGGGTCAGGAGCACAAGGCGTTGTCTCAGGAGCTGATGAAGTTTGAGCGCATTCTCATCAACGTCATGGAGTTCCACCCCAAAGTGCACCTCCCCTACCAGGTAACCAACCACCCAAACTCAGACACACCCCTCCACCATGCGCGCGTCCTTTCTCTGTCTCAGGAGCTGGCCTCTCTAGCCGAAGAGCTGTATAGCTTCTGCCACCAACGCAACATCAAGGGAATCAAGGACACCAAGGGCACCACCACCAGTGAGGCTGGCGCAAGCCCACTAGTCGCCTTCACGGACGAGGAACTTGAGAAGGACGACATGCCCGGCTGTGATGAGGGGCCAGAGGCCCCCCTGCCCTCGCTGCAGGAGCTGACTGAGAGGGCGGGGCGGATAGCCGCCGACAGGTACGACACTCACACGAAAGGGAGCAGAAGACAAAGTGGGATGGTGGGGGGATTCCCCCCTTTTGGTGTTGGGTGGCTTTGGTTTCAGTTTTCGTCTGCAGACGTGTCTGCTGCACGACGCCTCCCTCTTCGCCGCCATATCGGTCTTCGTCGCAGCCATCCAGCTGTCCCTCGTCCAGCTGCCGCCCTCCCTCCTGCCGCCCAAACCCAACCCTCCCATCTCCCCCACCCACCCGCACACCATCACGCCCTCACCCCCGCCATACCCACTGTCCCCACCCAACGCGCCAACGCCCACCAATCCCACACCCACACCGCTCTCTCCGTCGCCACTGAGCGATCCCATCAGTGCGGGAGCGGCTGCGAGGGACCAGGGGCCCCTTATTGCAAGCATTGACGAGACTACTGCGGCGGCTGAGAGCGGACAGGGAGGGGTCAAGAGGGCGAGAGAACAAGGGCAGGGGGAGACGAACGCCACTATCGGTACGAGCCGAGCAAGACGAGAAGAGAGAACAGACGGAACGTACCGGATGCATGGTGACTACTCTGCTCGTCTCATGTGCTCAGATGAGGGTGCACCTGCTGCGAAGAAGCCGCGCCGGCAAGAGGACGTTCCGCCACCGCCGCAACAGCAGCAGGCACAGTCGAATGGCCCGTGCGCCCCTCCCCCTCCCACTTCCCCTCCCAAGAACCCTGCCCCGGCGGCTGCACCGTCATCCCAGTCGTCGCAGGCAGACGTGCCCATGCCATCGTCCTCGTCAGTTCCTGACTTGCGTGTGAGCCCCCCACCCCCAGGTGACGACAGCAGCCCGCCCATGCTCCAGCAGGGCCCGGTTCAGACCGAGGCGAATGCGAGTGAGGAGCGGCGTCGGCTGCAGGAGGGCTTCCTTGCTATGCGGGAGTGGGCGGTGCTGCAGAGATGCACCAAGGGGTGAGTATTCTAGCCACAATGTGCATGCCATCTCGCTGTATTTTGTATGTGTGTGTGTGTGTGTGCTTGTACGTGGTGTGTGCAGCAAGTGGCCGCGCGACGAGATAGTTCGGGCGTTTCAGTACGTGTTGAGCGTGCAGAGTCTGCTGCAGCGGCGGACACGGCAGAGACTGCAGCCACACTGGCGGAGGGCGGGGGGTGCGCAGGCCAACAGCTTGCAGAAGAGCCAGACATAATAGGAGACAAGAGACGAGAGAGAGAGCAGCCAGTGCGGTGCTTCGGAGAGGTTTTCCGCATGGAGAGCAGAGCATAGCATAGCGTGGCTGTGTGCGACTCTGTCCATGTTGGTGAGCTTGTATTGCCGTGGATTCGTTCAATTATGTTTCATTCTTTGGAGAAACACTTCGCAACGAATAAGCTCGCATGATGGCAAGGGGGCTTCTCCATCGCAGGAGGCCATGGAGGCATAAGACGGAGCACGGCATCAGCTCCGCCTCCCCCTGACGGTCCTGGCGACATGCGATTCATCGGAGGAGGTCGACATCGGCAGGAGGCGCACCGGAGATGCAAAAAGGCTGACTGGGATAATTGAACCACTCCATGCATCCTCGTGTGCTCCACTCAGGTATGCATCCTCGTGTGCTCCACTCAGGTATGCATCCTCGTGTGGAGCACTCAGGTATGCATCCTCGTGTGGAG